TTTGTATACACTCCCGCACAATCGCGTGCTATCTATCTAGACACACCCACCGTTTGCGCCATACGCCATGGTCTCTCCCTGTGGTCGTGCTGCTCCAAAGTTACTTTTGTCTAGACCGCGTTTGCGTGTCTCTATAGCCTCCTGCTGTCGTCTACGTTTTTGTGCATCGTCCGAGCACTGATTGAAAGCGGCCGCTGACAGAGTCTTTGTGGTTGGGGCAGGTCGTTTGCGAGATCCTGTACCACTCTGACGGAATATGGAAATGTGGGCAATTGTCATAATATATATATATATATATATATATATATATACATATAAGCATACTCGAATACACGCATGCCATCGAACTACACTCACGCATATTATAGCCAAGGTTGCAGTGTTTCTGTACGGTGTGAGAGTAGTCTCCCCGATGCGTCCGTTGCCAGAGCCATAGTTGCTAGACTTAGTTGCTAGTCCTACATTAGCAAACGACACTCACGATAGTAAGTTAACAACACCTTGAACATACCTACCACCCACCCACCGGCTTCTCACTACTAAATACATACACCTCACTCCCATACTAGTGCACCCTTACCACTATTTTTGGGGCATTGGGACTGCGGCTCCTCGCACTGGATGGGTATGGGCTGTAGGTGGAACGGTCTGATCTGCAAGGCCATACAGAGGTACACGTGTTATAGAGTAGAGTATGTCCCATATTATGTCAAAACAGGACTCAGAATGTCCTGGAAGTGAGAACTAACTATGGTATAAACTCTGCTGCGGTACTGAACTTTACAACTAGCACTGATACTGACATTGACACTGACAATAACACTGGCAATGACACTGACACTACCATACATAAGATGAATAAGAGGTGGTCCTGAGTTCTGGTCATTACTACAAGGACCAAGAGATGCTGATAGGTAGAGTGTGATCATAACACTGCCACTGAGCTAAAAGAACATACACACACACACTGGACGATGCTCTAAAAGTTATCACTCTAAATAGCAGTGGGAACAAGGGCTGTGATCAGGGGCGAATACATTGATGCAGAAGCACTGATTGCCAGACATACACCAGACGAACACAAGGCGTTTATGAAGTTGCCTATAACTCACACACCAACACGACCCCGTGCTAAGCTCCACACTACCTTTCGCCGTCACTGTAGTCAGTCTGTCTATCTCTACACAACAGGCACATGCACACCATCACTACCTTATGCTACGCTACACACTACCTTTCCCCGTCACTGTAGTCACTGTCTCTGTCTTTACACAACAGGCACTTGCACACCAACACTACCTTGTACTACAGTACACACTACCTTTCCCCGTCATTATAGTCACTGTCTTTGTCGCTGCTGCGTGGGGGTGCGAATGAGGCACTTGGCCTAGCGGTCTTTTCCTCTACTCCCGCAATCTTCTTCCATTTGCTGATCAGCACCTTCGCTTTGTTTGACACATTGCGATCGTCAACGTTTTTAAGTTTATTGACTGTTTTCCTGCGTGGGCACGACGTGGGTAACAGATTAGGGGACAGTACCCAGAGGTATTTAACGTTTATCAATATGTGTACCTGTGGCATAATCATGTTTGTATATGTGATTATATGTGAGAGCATTTAGACATGTGCAAGTATATACTATCCTGAAATTGAAAACTCAATTTCTTCGTCAAGGCATATGCAAGTATATGCCTCTACATGTGCGCCTGTTTATGACCTTGTGAAGGTAAAGCATATCAGGTAAATTTATCGTCGCATACATAGGAATACTACAGGCGCATATTTAAATTACAATTCCATTTATATAAATATATATAT